CATACAAACTAAAATTAATGATGTCAAAATTAGTCATGGACTGACTTCAAATAGAGAAGCACTGAAATCCAGTAAGGAGTACTGATCTAGTGACTGACTGCAGGATAAATTCACTTGAACTTCTAGTGGGGATTAGACATTCTAATTTTATAATGTGGAGTGTGTTTTGGGGCAATATTCATCAGTAGCACAGGTAGACATACATTGATAGGATGCTGCCAAAATTGGAATAGCTGTACAGGTGATGCAGAAGTAGAGGCAAGTGCCAAGAAAATATATTGCACTAATCAAGGCACTCTATTCAAACTCACGTAGTCGTGTAAGGGCTTATAGGGAATTGTCATCTGAATTGATAACAACCAGTGGTGTCCGACAAGGATGTCCATTTTCCCCATTCCTGTTTAACTTCATCATAGATACGCTAATGGAAGTATCCTTAACTGAACTTAACGACTTAGGAATCGACTTGTTACCAGGAAATAGTCTTATGGACTTAGAACATGCAGATGACATAGTCCTGTTAGGGGAGGATGCTGACAAAATGCAGAGTCTTCTGAACACCTTGACCAGCAATCTTCGTATGTTTGGCATGCGATTCGCCCCTACAAAATGTAAGATGCTGCTACAGGTCTGGACTACGTCAACTCCTGCCTAGCTTAGTGATAGGGAGTGAAGTGATAGAACATGTTGACCACTTCACCTAAATGGGAAGTTGTATCAGCAACAACGGACTGATTGGCGACGAAATCTCACCACGGTTCCGAAAAGCTCGAGCTGCTTTCGCTGACTTACACCATCTCTGGCGTAGGCGTGACATCCGGTTATCAACCAAGGGAAATGTGTACTGCTCACCAGTTCGCTTCGTCCTTGTCTATGGCTCTGAAACATGGCCAATACGCGTTGAAGACATGAAAAGGTTGACAGCTTTCGATCATAGATGTCTACGATCTCTTTCTCACGTTAGGTGGTGGTATAATAAGGTAAGTAATGTTGATGTTAGGCGTAGAGTGTTGGGCGAAGAGGGAAAATCAATCGACGAGGCTATAAAGTTACATAGACTGAGATAGCTAGGTCACGTGCTCCACATGCCTAACCATCGCCTCCCCCGACGGCCATTGCTAGCTGATATAGGTGCAGGTTGGAAAAGAGCCAGTGGTGGCCAAACAAAAACATGGCCTCATCAATCCATGAAATCCTTGACAGTTAAACTGAGTCAGGTAGGGAGATGCAGACTTCCGGGTTGGGGCCCTCGGGACTGGCTCTAAGAATCAATGGCTGGAGACAATAGGTGACATGGCTCAAAATCGTTGTCAATGATAGCGCAGATGTATTCAGTCTCTGTAATCTTTCATATTCCTTTCTACCATTACCCATTCTGTTTCACTCATATACTTGTCAAACTCTATTGATTCTCTTCACTCATCTACTTGTCTACATTTGTGTTCTATTTGGAAAGCGGCAACTGGAACTGCTGGACTTCGGTGCCAAGTTCTATGTTGAATCCAGAGAGAGACAGAAGTAGACGCGGCAGCAGTGATGCAAAGCCTCGAAAACATAATCCTACTAAAGATCAAACTCAAAATTTGGATAGATTACATAGATGAAATATTTTTAATAATCAAAAGAAACGATATAAGAATAGACCTTGTGCACTGTGGTAGAGTATAGTTCGTTTCATTATGGGTAAAACGTATTTTGATAAAGTCTTACAGTGTTTCACAGTTATATATTTATTGATGACCACGTTTCGAGCACAATTTACTGCTGCTCATAATCATACCATGGTACTCACTCACACAACTTTCTAGCTTCGTTTATATAATCCCATCATTTTCCATCACTTGATTTGATTCCTGGTAGTATTTTCCATATTTTCGGTATGAGTGATGAGTCGGTCCTATTGCACGTGCTGGGTGTAGATTCACTCGATGAACACGGATTCAGTAATCAACCTCTCTCCCTGTCTCTTTCCACCTACCTATATTACTTCTTAGAATTTTAACCCTCTTTCACCCTGTTGTGTGTGGTTGTGTGTTAATGCATGTAGGGGAATTGTTGAGCTTTTTTCTAAATTACTTATCTTCTCAGGGTTAACCAATCTTACCTTAGCTAAATTCTTATGTTCCGACAATCTGACTACTCCCGATCTACTAGTTTAACCTAAGTAGTTGATCTCAGTCACATTCATTGCAAGGTATTATGTAAATTATACTATTTTATTTAATTGGGTCAACCCACAGGCTCCTTTAAGCTACAGACCTTCTCCTTTCTGAGTATGTTTGTAGGTTTGAATGCCACCCTAATTCCTGCTTTATTGAGAATCCTACGTAGGAGGATCCGAGATGCCCCCTCATTATATGGTAAGACTACTGTTGATGCCTTATATTCTTTCTTATTTATGTCATCATTACTAGTTTCACCATATTTTTATTTTGCTTTTGGCCTTTACTGATCTTCCCAACGAATTTTATAGCACAGTTAGTTATTTAACACCAACGCCTCTTCTTCTATCCGTTTCATTTCACTATTTAGGTCTTTTCTTGTCCTACTTAGTGCTACTGCTCGGTTTGTTAGACACACTTAACTAAGCCTGTCTGCCTTCACAGACAGATAACGGATGAGATGAATTAAAGTCCAAATATCTATAAGCAGAAAGTGTTGGCTTTTTATAAACGCCAGTGTGCAGTTTACCTTCTTCTATTCGTTTTATCTTACAATCTAACATCATAGCTAATTCTCCTTGTTCATTTTCTGATTCAAATGTGAATTTTATTCCCTCTACTAGTGAGTTTATATATGTGTGTGTCAAGATGCTAGAGAGAGAGAAATATGTTCTGTTTTTAACACTGTGTGTGAAAGTGTCATTCACATATCTCCACCATATTTTGGAGTAGCATTAAATGTATTGAGGGCACTATTTTCCCAACTGTCCATAAATATGTCTGCTACGATAGGTAATACTGGTGATCCATGCCATTGCTACACCTTCTGTCTGTCTATATATTTTGCCCTGGAATTTAAAGATAGTAGATGTGAGGCATAACTGAATTATATAAACAAAGTCAGAAAGTTGTGTGATTAGTTCCTTGATATGATTATGAGCAGTAATAAATTGTGCTCACAATGTGGTCATTTGTAAATGTTACTGTATGACAAACACTGTGAGACTTTATCAAAATAAATTTTACCCATAACAAGAGAAACGAATTGGATAAAACTCAAAACTTAATAAACAACGTCTTCAACGACATCGAATGCTCAAGAGAAGAGGAATCCGAGAACCAATCCCATTTTTGGACGTCTTAGTCAAGCGAACAACTACAGGGGAATTAGAAACTCAAGTTTTTAGGAAATCAACTCACACAGACCAAATCCTGAATTTCAACAGCAACAATCCAATATCACACAAAAGGAATTGCATACAAACACTATTCAAGAGGGCAAGGACTCATTGCAGCACTCCCACCTTAAGCAAAATTGAAGAAAGACATCTCATGGAAAGAATAGATATCCAGAAAACTTCTTCAAGAGATATTTACCCCCAAGCCAGTCTATCGAATCAAAAGTCCTCAAGGAAAGCACAAAGAAAATCGCCCTGTCATGTATAAAGGACATGTAAGAAATCGCTACAAGACTCTTCAAAACTTTAGGAGTTGATGTTGCACACAAACCAACAAAATCACTTTACTCAGCTCGCTCTGAGTCATCCAAAAGACTCAGCAACGAAAGAATATAAAACCAACATCATCTACAAAATAAATTGCAACGACTTTGAAAAACACTACATTGACCAAAGTGGACGTCCCCTTCGTCGTCTTCTTATCCACGAACATAAACTGGCCGTCCATCAGAAAAAAAAATAATATCCGCTCCTTCATATCGCTGCATACAGACAACCACAGACATCAATTTGACTGGGACAACTAGCGTTCAAATAATAGACACAGAAAACGCCAAGAATGCTGGGGAACTTTTAGAAGGCAGCCTGGTGTTCCAGTAAATCGTCAATCAACAGACACATTAACACCGACAAAATTTACCACTCGATAAAAAGGAAATCTCATAATGCACAAACGGTCAAACTTCAGATCAAGGAAGCAATCAGTACCAATACAAGTAGTCTAGAGGGTGTGAAAACACACGAAAACAATCACTCACATTCAAGGTCACCCACCAGGAAAGACGACTAATAAACTTGTGGAGAAATCCTAAAGCTCAATTCAATTCAAATTCAAGTATGCGCGGAAAATGTTGCCTAGTCGGGCAATGAAAGCTTCGCCAATAAATTATCCACCCAATTCAGAGAAGTGTTTATTTCTCAAATCTGGATTTAGTTTACGTTGTGGTCAGGAAATAATCTTATTGGACAACTCTTCGTCTCATTGCTACACCTTAGATCGATCGTTAACCAATCAGAACACTTCATTGTTCGCTAACCTAGCCGAATTTCAATGTGTCTAATAATTTGTAAATATAGTCCACTCCCAATTATCTTATCGTCTGACGTTGCAATAGAAATTCATTAACTTTATTCTAGTCAACAAAACAACATATTGAACTACATTTACAAATCTACCAAAAATCATTCCCCGAATTCATATATATTTGTATATAAATCTATTTTATAGATTATTATACCACTCACTAAAATAAAAATCACAAATTAAACAATCACCCAATTAATTCATTAATTAATTGATAAAATAACTAAGTAAAATAAAAACAAAAGAGAATAAATAATAATTAAATTTTAAAAAACCCGCCTTCACTATAAACAACATTCCATAGTGAAAGGCGTTATTAGTTGAATGTTTAAATCCTACACTGCAACAGATCCTCTAATTTTTTAAGTCTCCCTCGTGTGCTCAAGGTCAACTGCCACACTTTCTGATTGGTTGATTTTCTATCTCTCATAAAAAATTGAATATTTTGTTATCATATATCATAAGAAGATCTGAGAAAGTATATTGTGCGTAGTGATTTTTGTGATTAAAGAGGATTTAAATATTTTTTTGGTAATTATATACACTATGGGAGTATACTGTGCACTTTTTTTCTGCTTTTGTTTTACTTGACTTGATCAGTTGATGCCGGGGATTCGTAGTTGATGTATTCCCTTGACTAGTGTTATTCACCTCTGGATGTCGACAAACCAACTCAGTTAAAGCGACCATACTGCCAAATATGTAAACACCAAAATTAGCCGATGTAAATATCTATGGTGAACGAAATAAACAAGAAGAAAAAATCGATAGAGTTTATATTTAAGTAAGGTTAACTGAAGTTCAAAAATGTTATAATAGTCAGTAATAAAAAGAGAAATTTCAGTATATAGATATCACTTGATTGTTGATGACTAGTAATCGAATTCAAGATTCAAGTTTCTTCCTTAATGACACTCGTTAGCTTTGTGTATATATATATATATATATGCGTATCTGCTATGATTAATAGCATTTATCGTGTGCACTGGATACAGAACTCCGCCCCACCAGAACAAGCTGGATTCAAGAAAGGCGAATCAAAGACCAAATTGCAACTCTACGCATCATCATCACAGAACAAAGCATGGAATGGCTATCAAACCTCCACCTCAACTTTATAGACATCGAGAAGGCCTTCAACAGACAGCGTTGACCACGAAGTAATTTGGAAATTACTCGAGTACTACGGCGTGCCCCAAATATTCATCAACCTTATTCAACAGCTGTACGACAACCGCACATGTCAATTCATCCACAACGGAAAACTCAGCGAGGCCTTTGGAGTAAACACAGGACTCATTCAGACAACGATGATATTCCTAATTGTGGTGGACTGGATTATGCGTCAGACAGTGAGTGGGAAACCAGAAGACAGGGATATCCTGGCCCAACAGACGTGAAGAACCTGGAAGACCTGGATTTCGCGCGTGGATGAGTTATGTTTGATATCACACAAAATCGAAGATTAACAAAAGAAAACCGATCGACAAACTGCTCGAAGAAGCAGCCGGCGAAGACAGGACTCTAGGTGAACATAGACAAGACACAGGTGATGAAAATAACAAAACAACTACTACCACCAACAGCAGCAGTAACATCCATCGCCAATCACCATCAACGGGGGGGGTTTGAAAGAGGTTACTTCATTCACTTACTCATCTAGGGAGCATTGTCTCAACTACACGCAGTCGGAACGGACGACGATGTCAAATCGAGCGAGAATCGGGAAGGCGAGCGAGAAACACATTCACTCATCAACCTGAAATCAATCTGGAAATCTTCGTCACTCAGTCAGCATCAACAACAAAATTCAGTCGGATTTTCAATACAAACAACGTCAAGACAGTCACTTCTCTTATACGGATCAGAAACTTGGGACGGGCGGGTCACAAAGAATATTTCCACCAACAGCCTGTTGCAGACCTTTATCAACAACAACTGTCTTCGCTGGATCTATATTGAAGATCAGATGGCCGGGCCGGAGAGAATCACCACAACAAGAAACTATGGGAACAAACAAACAAAACAAGAAGCAATCACCAACCAACAAATATGCAGGAGAAAGTGGAGATGGATTGGAAACTCAGTTGCTGAGGAGGCCGCTGGGTAACATTGCTCGCGCGTCAGGCCATTTCTCGAGTTGAACCATGCCGAAAGGGAAGCGGCGAGTGGGACGTCAGTGCAAAGGTGACATGGAGGAGATCGTGTGAAGAGGAGTTGAGGGAGTATGGACTAACTAACATGGATGCAGGTGAAAAGCACAGCAAAAGACAGAAGCAAGTGGAGGCGTGCAGTTGAAGCCCTATGTTCCACTAGGAACCCAAGGGAGCCATAACAATAATAATCGTGAAACACAAACCTAGCCTCCCTCGTTACAAACCCAAGATGCTATTAAATAAACTGCTTAGTCATAGGAATCACTTCTTGTGGAACAGAGATCAGTCGTTAGTGTAATGACAGAAGACAAGCGTCAGGCAACAGATGGTTTATTGAGGAAATGAAAAGGTGATGTAGATTTTTATGTACATTATTATTCGTTATTATTGGCAGATGAACAGCGTCTTCTGATTGGTTGCTTTCTTGTTGAGGGCTAATTAGTCATCTCTTTGTGGCCGTTTCTTAGAAACTTAGCTATAGTTTTGTGAATCGTATTTCCACGAGTTAAGTCTGCTGTGATTGGTTGCTGAGTTAGTCTTTGTTCTTGTTCTTTTCTCCTGACCAAGATTTAAGAAATTAAGATTGACGTGAATTGCTGTCTACCGATTTTGGCTAGCACACAGCTCTAACAAAAGATACTTGTGTTTAGGTATGATGTCTTTCCGGCTATTGCTCTTTGATGACTGGTCTCTAATGACATGTTGACTTCTACCACTGATACACGTCGGTGAAGGAATGCCATTATTATACAATTCCGACTGAGTCACATAAAAGAAAAGACGTTCAGCGGAGAGCTACTCAGTTCAGAGATATCAAGCTATACAATCGCACATTTGCATATACATTGTGAATTGTCTTAGTAACAAAAAGGAGGAATATTTCCAGAAATGTGTTATTTGATTTGTAAATATTTTGGGATAACAAATTACGTCACATGAAAAAGCCACCTAGAATGATGGCCACATTGCAAAACTGACTGACTGATAGAATTCAGTCTACACCAAACACCAAGAAACTAGACACGTCACACTAGTTAGTGACTAGTGTCCAATCAAACTACCAACACAGTCCTACAGGAGGTCGATCGCGAGCTCAAATACCTGGCTCAGTGGTAACGTCTCTGAATGCAGTCAGCACTGGGTGACGTGGGTTCGAATCTCAGAGGAGTGAGACATGAGTTCCTTCAAGGCAGCTTCAGATACGCCTTGCTGACTGGTGAGTGCCAACTAACACAAAACCTAGGTCCTGGCAAGGCTTTCTTTGGCCGATTGCCTCCATCCATCTAAAGCGTTAATCCAGTAGAAACTAAAATTTAATCATATAAGTAGTTTGAGTAGCGTAGTATAATTGACGGGTTTGAGTACAATTCAACTAGACTTTTAACGACAGTCAAGTTAAAAACATTGATAACAAGAGATAGAAATTCAATAGGGAGTAAGGGACGAAAATAATCCAAGTGAGAAACGAAAATTACGTATTCGGTGTCAAGACAGATCAGGTCCATTGCAGATTTGTTGACTGAACAAACTTCTTTCTTATGAAGAGTTCAAGATGCAACATGTGAATTGTCATGACTACAGAGGTTTGAAGAAGTTTGATTCAAACTCTTTTGACGAGATTCCCAAGCATTCTGTAGACGACTTTGAATTTACTCTTTTGGTTGGGTTAGCTTGGTGTCCAGATTCGATCAGGTGTTCTAGGATAGAGCTGCATAGGCATAGGAGATTTTTTTTCTCCTTTGCAATCAATAGTGTTCTCTGAGCTGTTTGGTTTAGTTGCGGAGCTTTCGTCGTCTTTATGGACGACAGCTTCAGCGCAGTATTTAGCAAATGATTTAAAATCTCCATGAATGATGATACAATTGTGTCTCGTGGTGACCAACCATCTTTACATATGTGTGCATTGACCGTTTTCTATTGATTGGGATTTTAAACTTTCTGGTCATCTGATTTGCTTTTATTAGTTGATATATTTCATCTGTATTAAAGTGTTTATTAACGGCATTTTCGTTTGGGTACTAGGCTTCTAGGAATTCCCTGGCACATTTGGTTTTTCCTCTGTTTAAGATTTTGATATTATCCCAATCAAATTGATGTCCATAATTGTCAGTGTGCATTGATACTATTATTATTACTTTCTCCTTTATAAAAACATAAGTATGGGTAAATGTCCGATGATATGTTTGGATAGTAAACGTTGGCTACGGGTGGCTGACCTAGCTCCACATAAGCAAGTGAATTCATAGACACTCATTGATAAGGCCGACAGTCGTAGGCTAAGCCTTCACGTCTGTGTGAATCATTTGATTTCATAGAGAAAGTTAGTCGAAGTTCTGCCGCGAAGAAGGCTTTCTTCAATCAGCGGGCGGGTAGGTGGTTTCTTAATACTTCTGCTGATGAGTATGCATTGAACTGTAGATTAAGGTGGGTGGTTATAATGGTCTAGATTTCATAGATTTTGTGATGTAAAGGTTTCGCTAAAACATTACGAATCAAACTTCTTCAAAGCTCTGTAGTCATGAAAATTGACATGTTACATCCTTAACTCTTCTGTCTGTCTGTCTGTTTTCGACATAAAACTTTGCACAAATGTGCGGGAGTTCAAGTCGCCACACTCCTCCATGTAGCACACGAAGCAAGAGAAGAAAGTACAAGAAAAGCATAATAGAGAGAGTAAGCAGAGGTGTGAGACAAAGGAAGAGTAATAACAAAGAACAAAACAGTTTCATTGGAAATCATAAGTCACAAGGAGTGGATGCATCTGCATTGGCCAGCCACTGAGAACGATTTTGAGCCATGTCTCCAATTGTTTCCAACCATAGATTTTTACCGTCCCGAGGACCCTACCCACGAAGTCTACACCTTCCTACGTGGCTTAGACTAACTGTTGTGGATTTCATTGACTGGTGCTATGTTTTGGTTTGACCGCCACTAGCTTTTTTCCAGCCTGACCCTATATCCGCTAACATTGTTCGTCGAGCGAGGCGATAGCTCGGCATACGTAACACATGTCCTAACCATCTCAGTCTTTGTAACTTCACGACTTCGTTGATCGATTTCCCCTATTTACCTAGAACTCGACGCCTAACTTCAGTGTTGCTCACCTTATTATGCCACTTTACACGGGAAATAGAGTGCAGGCACCTATGATCAAAGGCAGCTTATCTTTTCATGTCTTCCACTCTCAGTGGCCAGGTCTCCTGAACTCTTCATAAGCAAGAAGTTTGTTCAGTCAACAAATCTGCAATGGATCTGATCTGTCTTGACACCGAATACGTAATTTTCGTTTCTCACTTGGATTATTTTCGTCCCTCACTCCCTATTGAATTTCTATCTCTTGTTATCAATGTTTTTAACTTGACTGTCGTTAAAAGTCTAGTTGAATTGTACTCAAACCCGTCAATTATATTACGTTACTCAAACTACTTATATAATTACATTTTAGTTTCTACTGGATTAACGCTTTAGATGGATGGAGGCAATCGTCCATAGAAAGCCTTGCCAGGGCCTAGGTTTCGTGTTAGTTGGCACTCACCAGTCAGCAAGGCGTATCTGCAGCTGCCTTGAAGGAACTCA